ACTTAGCATAAGGTCCTCAAGTTTCATCCAAGTTGTGGAAGCAGCAGGATTCCCTTCCTTCTCGTGGCTGAATAACATTGACTTGTATATATAACCACATCTTCTTTATGTATTCATCTGTCGACGGACACTTAAGTTGTTTCCATATCCTGACCATTGTGAGTAATGCTGCACTGAACATAGGGCTGCCACAATCTCTTTTTGGAACTGAGACCCATTTTCATTTACTTTGGCTATAGACCCAGATGTGGGATTGCTGGACCATGTGGTAGTTCTATTTTTAATTTTCGAGGAGCCACCATGCTGTTTTCCATCGTGGCGGCACCACCAGCAGCACACAGGAGTTCCCTTTTCTCCACATGCAGGACAACACTTGTTATTTCTTGCCTTTTTAATACTAGCCATTCTAACAGGTGTGAGGTGATATCCTCTGGTGGTCTCGATTTACACTTCCCAGACAATGTTGAATACCTTGTCAAGTAACCATTAGCTATTTGTATGTCTTCTTTGGAAAAATGTTTATTTAGAGTCCTCCTCATTTTTAAACCTGATTGTTTTTACTATACAGTGTATGAGTTCCTTATGTATTTTAGATAATAACTCCTTATCAGATAGTTTGCAAATATTTTCTCTCATTCCATAAGCTGCCTTTTCATGTGGCTGGTGGTGTGGTTTCTTTTGCTGTGCAGAAGCTTTTTTAAAAAAGTTGAACATGTAAAGGCTTTGCATTTATTTAAAATTTATTTTTAATTTTTACTGACATATAATATGACAAGTAATACTACATTAGTTTCATGTGTACGACATAGTGATTCAATGTTTATATACCTTACAAAATGATCACCTCAATAAGTTTAGTAAACATCTGTCACCATATATAGTTATTATGATATTATAGACTCTGTTTCCTAAGCTGTGGATTACATTCCTGTGACTTATTTTGTAACTGGAGTCTTATACTTCTTAATATATCCCTTCCCTTTTTCCAGCCATCCCTCCAATCTCCTTCCCTCTGACAAACATTAGTTTGTTCTTTGTATCTGTGAGTTTGTTTCTGTTTTGTTTTGTTTATCCATTTGTTTTGTTTTTTTCGATTCCATATATAAGTGAAATTATACAGTGTCTATCTTTCTCAATCTGACTTATTTCACTTAGCACAATACCTTCTAGGTCCATCAGTGATGTTGCCTTTTAATTGGATTCCTTTCTCTTCAGATTTTGTGGATTTTTATTTAGTTTTGGTTATGGTTAATAAGGTTCATATACATCCATCTATATCTATAGCAGTCTACTTAAAGCTGATAGGCATGTAAGTTCAATTGCATCCCCAAAGCACTACATTTTTCTCCCCCTCCACTCTTTATGTTTTTGATGGCATGTTTTATATCTTTTTGTTTTGTGTATCCCATGATTATTTATTGTAGTTATAGCTAATTTTGCTACTATTGTCTTTTAACCTTCATATTAGTTTCTTAAGTGGTTAATTCACTGTGATTATTATATATTAGAGGCCTGGTGCATGAAATTTGTGCATGGGGAGGGAGTCCCTCAGCCCGACCTGCACCCTCTTATAATCCGGGACCTCTAGGGGGATGTCTGACTGCCAGTTTAGGTCTGATTATTCCTGTGGGATCAGGCCTAATCTGGCAATCGGACATCCCTCTCGCAATCTGGGACCGCTGGCTCCTAACCACTTATCTGCCTGCCTGCCTCATCGCCCCTAACTCCTCTGCCTGCCTGCCTGATCACCCCTAACCACTCACCTGCCTCCCTGATCACCCCTAACTGCTCGCCTGCCTGCCTGACTGCCCCTAATCACTTTGTCTGTCTGCCTGATCACCCCTAACTGCCTCTGCCTTGGCCCCCACCACTGCAGCTTCACCCAGAAGGATGTTTGGAATGATATCCAGGAGGTTGTTCGGCTATCCAGTCTAATTAATGTATTATGCTTTTATTATAGATTTGCCTTTATCAGTGAGATTTCCCCCCCTTTTCTGTATTTTTTTTTTTTTTATGTCTGGTTATGGCCCCTTTTTTCCTTGGATAAAGAAGATCATTTAACATTTCTTGTAAAGCCAGCTTAATGATTTGGAACTCCTTTAGTTTTTACTTGTCTGGGACACTCTCCTTCAATCTGAATGATAACCTTGCTGAATAAAATATTCTAGGTTGTAAATTCCTTTCAGCACTATCAACCACCACTCCCTTCTGATAAATCAGCTGATAGCCTTAAAGGGTTTCCCTTATATGTGACTTGTTTCATTCTTGCTGCCTTTAAGACGGTCTCTTTATCCTTAACATTTGCCATTTTAATCACAATATGCCTTGGTGTGGGTCTCTTTAGGTTCATCTTCTTTGGAAATTTCTGTGCTTCCTAGACCAGGATATTTGTTCCCTTTCCCAGATTATAAAAGTTTTCAAACATTATTTGTTCAACTATTCTTTCTACCCCTTTCTCTTTCTCTTCTCTTCCTGGAATCCCTATTATGTGAAATATTAGGGCATGTGATGTTATCCTAGAGATCTCTTATACTATCCTCATTTTTTTAAAATTCTCTTTTTATTTTCCTGTTCTGATTGGGTGATCCCCACTAATCTGTCTTCAAGGTCGCAAATTCTTCCATATTAACTAATCTGCTATTGATTCTTTTTAATCTATTCTCCATTTTAGATGTTGTTTTCTTTTGATTAGTTCTTTATTACATTTTTTGTCTCTTTGTATTCTTCTATGTACTCTCAAGTTTTTTGAACACTCTTATGACCATTTCTTTGAATTCTTTATTACTTATCTCCTTTGCATTGGGGTTTTTTTCTCTGGACTTCTTTCTTGTTTCTTCATTTGGGGCATATTCTTCCATCTCCCTATTGTTTGAGTTTCTCTGATGTGGCCAAAATAGCTGAGAAAGTGGTCCTGAAAAAGTGGTCTCTGTGTAGGCTCTGATTTGGACAGTTTGGGCAAGGTGGATAGTTGGAATGGGTGCTGGAGGTGCCTGATATGACCTCGGGTCTGAAGGAGTGGGTTCCAGGTGGGGCAACCTAGAGTGTTTTGCGTCTTTTCCCTTCTAATCTGGGTGGGGCTACCTGATGTAGAGGGGGCTGCTAGGTGTGCTCTTAGCATGCCCTGTTGCTTTAACTGTCTGTGTGATCAGGCAGTGTCTGGGCATGGCTACTTTTTTAGCTCAATGTTCCACCAGCTTTGTCTTCTCTGGGTGGGACAGGTCTGTTCTGTGTGCATGGCTGTACTTCACTAGTCCTGTCCCCTCTCTAGGGAGTACAGCTCCTCATGTACTCAGTCACGCCCCTCATTCAACATGGCCATCCTTGCCTGTGTGCCCTGTGGCTTTAATTGTCCACAGTCAGAGCATGGCCTGGGTCCACTACTGCATACCTGCTTCTCAGTGCCCTACTAGCTCTGCCCTTTCTCCCCAGGGGCAGCCTTGTGTGTGCACAGCAACACCCCACTTACTCCACAGAGGGCACCCCTCAGTGTGGGTACCACAAGGTTGTGCTAGCTCCACACTTTCTTTGGGCAGGAAAGCTCCGCATGGCACACAGCAGTGCCCACTACCTCAGCACTTGCTCTGGATGAGGAAGCCTGCAGCTGTGCACCACAGCATTGTGTTAGTGCTCCACTTTTTTCAGGTCGGGGAGCCCCTTGTGTGTGCATCTCAGTGTGTGCTATAGTGCCCCCTTATTTCTGCTTGTTCTGGTTCCAAGAGGGGTGGCTGGGGACATGCCACAGTGCTCTGCCAATCAGCCAACGAAGCTGGAGGGACTCCCACCCACTGTCCACATTCAGAAAAAATGTAAATAATGGTGCGCACCAGTCCCTCTTGTTCTGGGTTGTTCCCTCAGCTCCTGGAGAGCTTTCATGGTTTCCTGACCTTCTCTATGCAGTCCCTCTCTCTTGCTTGTTGTGCAGAAGCTGTTTGATTGGCTCATAGTTGTCTGTCAGGAAAAATTGCTCAAAATATAGGCATATGTTTAACATGGTCTTGTGAGAGGGTGAGCTCAGCACCACCTACACCACCATTTTGGACCCACCTCCTATGTTGTCGCTTTTTAGTTAGATGTAGTTCCACTTGTTTGTTTTTCCCTTTTGTTCCTTGTGTTTTCCTTGTCAGAAAACCACTAACAAGACAATGTTAAGAAGCTTTTTTCCTGTTTTCTTCCAGTAGTTTTCCAGGTTTGGGGGGATTAATTAATTAAGTCTTTAATCTATTTTGCGTTAATTTTTGCGAGTGGTTAAGATAGGGACCCAATTTTATTCTTCTGCATGTGAATATTCAGTTTTTACAAACCATTTATTGAAGAGACCATCTTTTATCCATTGAGTATTCTGGCTCCCTTTTCAAATATTAGTTGACCATATATGCGTGGGTTTACCTCTGGGCTCTCAGTGCGGTTCCGTTGGGTTACGTGTCTGTTTTAATGCCAGCATTATGCTTTTTGGCCACTATCGCTTTGTAAAACAGGGCATTTCAGACCACCCGAGGTGCCTGTGCAGTGGTGTGGAACAGCCATCTCTAAAACAAACAAACAGCCCTGATTTGCAGCGGTTGCCAGTTTCCATGCTGTAATTACTCCCACCTTGGCTGATCTCTAGCTTCCAATAACATGTCACTGAATGTGGAGTTGAGGAGAGACATGGGGTAGTACCCCATATATATCATCTCTACAATACACACCATACATGTAAATAACCCCAAAAGTACAGATCGTAGTAAAATGTGATAACATAATACAAAAGCAATGAATGTTGAGTATGTATTAACTTTGACTTTAATATGTTTATTTAACTGTAGCTTATATTAATGTTTAGAAATGGCTGTGTTTAACAACTGCCTCACAAAATTCCTGCAAACTTAGCATTCAGCTCCCACAGGCCTGTGCAGGCCGGCTCTGGCCCACCAACGGGCCTGCATCTTCAGTGTAAAGAACCATGATCCTTGGGTGGAACAAGTGCTCACTCTGCCTCTCCCTCTGTTTCTTCCAGATCAGCAAACAGCAGCTGCAGACCGTCAAAGACCGCTTTCAGGCTTTCCTCAACGGGGAAACCCAGATCGTGGCTGACGAGGCCTTCATGAACGCCGTGCAGAGTTACTATGAGGTAAGGCACCGTGAGGAAGGATGGCGGGGCTGCTCAGGCCTGCAGCCCAGGCTCAGTGGGAGCAGCCTTGGCCTTCCATGGGACCACTGCTCCTGAGGCAAAGCGGTGGGTGAGTGGTTACAGGGTTAAGGAATAATTGTATTTTATTTGGGGAGAACTGTAAAAGAAGCAACTGTTTACCAGCTGATTTTTATACCCAGCCCTGTGCTGAGTGCTGTACATGCAGTTTCTTGCTTAATCCTTATAGCAGTCTTCAGAGTTAGGTCCTGATATTATTTCCATTTTACTGATGAAGAGACTGAGGTTCAGAGAGGCCATGTCAATTACTCAAGGTCACACTCTTTAAATGCCACAGCTATAACTTGAAGTGAGTCAGGAGCCTGTTCCCTCCAGGTACAGCCTTTCTGAAGGATGTTGACATCTCCTAAGGACAGTGCATTCACTATCTTACTCTCCTCACTATTAAGATGGTGCTGTGAGTTCTTTTAGCAAGTTAGAACACCATCCAAAATGTACCACTATTCTCAGGAGAAAACCTAGAAGTGAGAGACTATATCTTGTGTATATATTACAAGTAATTTTTCACCTTTAAACTAAAGTAAGTGATTTATTTATTAGTAAAGAGAATTTGGAATTCCACTAGTACTTGTTTTTAGCATAAAATATTTATTTACTTGTAAATTTAAGAATGGCAGTTGTCAGTGGTTACAAGGGGACGAATGGAAGATGTTGGTCAAGGTTACAGACTTTCGGTTTTCAGATGAGTAAGTTCTGAGGAACTAGTGTACAGCATGATGGCTGAGGTAATGACACTATTATACACTTGACATTTGCTGAGAGAGTAGATCTTAAAGAAAAAGAAAATGTTAACTGAGGTGATGGGTAAGTATGTTAATTAGCTAGATCATGGTAATCATTTCACTATATATGTACATAAAATAATCACATTGTAACCTAAAAAAATCATGTGTACAATTTAAATATATATAATTTACTTTAAATTTTGTAATTATTCTTAATGTGAATAATTGGATATTGTGAATATTGGCTATCATTGGTACACCATTAATGGCAAGTGGACATGCCATGCCTTCCTATTGGCAATGTTTAACTGACATAAACATTTTCAAAAATATTATTTGGTCAATGAAAGACATTTTACTTTATATTAATCTATTTCATATGATCCAAATATTCTCTGTGTTTGGAATCCTGTGCCTGAAATGTCTTACCCATTGTCAAGACTAGCTTAAAAGCATTAGAAACTATCCACTAAGCATGGAAAAACTTATGGGATATTGTTATATGCAATTCAAAGTAATAACAATAAACGCTAAAATAAGTGTAAGGAAATCCAACAAACTGAATTTTTCACAATGGATTACTTTCTTTTTAAAATTATTAGGGAACAAATTATTTCAGATCAGAAACGTTGGTGCTCTTCCTTCCACTCCTACTAGAGCACGTGACTCCTCCTTTCACGGGGAGTGGAGCAAGACCACAATTAGACCCTGGGAAAACATTATTGATTAGCTTGCCAATTAGTTTTTCATAGGAAACAGCCTTTATGATATGATATTTGCTGGCCACAGACTCATTTTACATGTCATTTCCTCAGTGAAATTTCTATGCGAATCTGTTTTAGAAGTTGGGTTTATTTTTATACTTGTCAAATTTAAGTTTCACCTTTACATTTTATAAGCAGTGTCAATTATTGGCAATAAGGGCCAAACTTATTGCTTTACCTGATGTGATGGAATTTTTCGGTTGCATTTAATGGAAAGTGGAAATGAGATTTGGAATCACGATGAGGGTCTGGCAGTAAATAACTTGAATACATTTTACAAAATTTCTGTCTAGAAACTGCCAGGAAATGAAATGAATCCCTCCCCCCACCCCCGCCCTACACACACACACCCTTTCTTCAAGTTCTGAAAGCCAGTTCTGACTCACACACACACACACACACACACACCCTTTCTTCAAGTCCTGAAAGCCAGTTCTGATCAGACAGAACCTTATTGATAGTTCATGTTTAAAGTCATTCACCAGTTTATAAATTCGAGAATGCTCATCTTAATTAGAAAGCTCATTTGACTAATGACATAAATGAAAAGAAAGTGTCATTTCTATCCATTAATTAAATTTGAAAATTAGAAGTCATCAGCATGCTAACAAGCCTCTGTCAATTACCATTATATCTACAGTGACCCTATATTTTCTTCTGTACTGGCCAGTTTGTTTGAAATCACTTTTTTTTTTTAGTCTGATGAGAATCTAGGCTTGGAGAAATTACTGACTGTTTTATGTTGAGATTTGGGTGACAGGAATAAGGTGAGGTGTGAATTGTTCACCACAATGTAAAGTTTGAAAGCCTTTGGGTCACGTTTCCTGGGACCCCCTGCAGCACAGACCCCCAGGCAGGGGCCAGGGCCTGTCCGCTCCCCTTCTCCCTCCCCTTTCCCTTTAGGCTCTTGGTGACGGAAAAGCTAACGTCTCTTCCTCTGCCCTAATCTGAAATGCAATTACTTTTCTGTCAGTGTCTGTCTTGGTCATGAGTCTTTGGATTACAGATGACAGACACCAACTTCAAACGGCTTCAAATGAGCTTATCTGCTCCAGCCTCTTGAAGGCCCAGGAGGCCTGGCTTAGCTGTGGCTCCGTCCTGAGATGCAAAGGTGCAGCAGCACGAGCGTCCTCCTCCACACACTCGGCTTTGCTCTCATCCGTCAGCTTCCTGCTTAGGCAGGTTCGTTCCCTGCAGTCCCAGGAGCACAGAGAACCTCTTTACTGAGAGTCCCAGCAAGAGGCCAGGTGACTTGGATGGAGTGACATGGGTCAGGTGTTTTTTCTGAAGCTGATCACAGTAGAAGGGGGTGGAGCAGACCTGGACGCAGGCCTAGGACACACAGCACCTCTGAGCCCGATGCAGGCTCAGTCCCAGCAGAGCCATCTGTATTGAAAATGCAATGGTTTCCCAATGAGAAATGAGGGTGACTTTTACCAGGAGAGGGGGAATGAATGCTCGTCCAAAAAAACTTCACATATATTCTCTTTCTAAATGCTCTCTCAAACACACACACACTTTCTCACACACATATACTCTCACTCACATACACACACACTCACACACACTCACTCACAACGCATTCTCATATATACACTCTCACTCTTATACACACTCTCTGACACACATTCTCACATACACACACACACACACACTTTCTCACACACATATACTCTCACTCACATACACACACACTCACACACACTCACTCTCACACACATACACTCACACACACTCACACACATACACTCACTCTCACTCACACACATACACTCACACACACTCACATGCACACTCACACATACATGCACACATACTCACACGCACACTCTCACACACTCAATCACTCACACACCCTCTCACACACACTCTCACACACACTCACATACACAAATATACACTAGCATACACTCACTCTCACTCACACACATACACTCACGCACACTCACTCACATGCACACTCACACACACTCACATACACAAATATACACTGACGCATTCTCATATATACACTCTCACTCTTATACACACTCTCTGACACACATTCTCACATACACACACACACACTCACTCACACACATTCACACACACACTCACTCACACACACATACTCTCTCTCACACGTACCCCAGCCACCATATCGCCTCTCCAGTTTACCAAGGTAATTTCATTAAGAAAAAATCTTTACTCAAAAAGTCCTGAGATTATTGCACTAGGCAAAGTCAAAGTCAGCGTCAGGCGTTGGCCTGGTGGTGCTAAAGAATAATGGTTCATCACACACTAGAGGAGTAAAGGCAGTTTCCACATGTGCCCATAAGCCCAGCGTGGCCCCGGCTGGCCAGCACTAACCGGCAAGCTGGGAGGCCTGGGCGTGAGCGGGGCCAGGAGAGGAGGAGGCACAGTTCTCTGAGGCTCTCCAGAGCATGTCGGCCTACTTTATCCTTTCCTGGTGGCCCTGACTGCCAAAGCCGATCACACAGCACAGCAGGTTAATCCTTAATCTCTTCCATTAGGGCTTTGAGGGCTGGCACTCTGAGATCTGCCCAGCAGCCCCAGCCACAGCCACAGCCACAGCCCTAAGACACCAGAGAGCCACCCATTCCTCCAGGGCCCCCATGTCTTTTCTAACCCTCAGCTCCAGCTGCACTGACACCACCCACCTCCTTGGTTCCTTCACACGCTGGGCCTGGCCTCAGAGAAGAGAGGCGGTGGAAGAGCTTTACAAAGCCGTCTCATTCAGATCCCACCTGGAAGGAAACGTGGGGTGTGGTGGGAAGTGAGGGTGGAGATCGGTGGAGCACCACAGCTGACATCGGGCGGGCGTCAGCCATGCCACTGCCCTGGCTTCTGCTTGTTGTATCTTCTTTTTAGCCGATCTCCTCTAGCAAAGGCCTGGGTAGCGTTTGTCAAACTGCCTTTGAATGTGTATCACAGAATTCTCCAGTTGCTAGCAGCAGAAACGAACTGCGGTTAAATTAAGCCTTAATAATAATAACAACAAGAACAAGTGTTCGTTGTTTTTGCTGTTAAAAGAAATAACCAAGCATAAGAAAAAATGGAACCGGAGCAGACTGACCTTAGGAAGCCAGGCACAGAACATAACAGGTGCCCTGTCACTGGTATGAATCTACTCCGACCCCATTCCATCCGGTGGCACCCCACACTGAATCTGAACCCCACCATCTACCACAGATCATGGCCCCAGATGTGCATCTGAAGTTTGCACCAGGATCCCTTAATTTTTGGTGAGGGATCTCTTTAAGATCCAAAGGTGCATTTTATTTTAGAAATTAACATTCATCATGCCTCAACAAAGGTAAATTTTGTATTTTTTCCATGTAGAAAGACTTGTTTTAAGTAATTATGGAAGTAAAGCATGCCAATTATAAAACTAGACAGTGTAAGAAAAAACCTAAAAGAAAATGGCTAGAAAAATACTTGTAATTCCATCATCCTAAACAATTACTATTAAATTGGGGTATATATCTCTTCAGATATTTTTATATGTTTGTGCACATACCAATAGCTATTTAATTTCTGTATTAAGATATAAATTACTATGATATATTAATAATCCACTTGTTTATTAGCACAGTAGTTTTCAATCTCCTTTCTACCTCTGCAAAAATCACACATATGACACCCTCATCAGTAGAAGGTTTTATTACCTATGATGTTCTTGACCTAAGGTCATGCTCCTATCCTCCTAGCCCACCTCACCCCTACCATTGAAATCTCCAGGTTAACAACAGATCATGGACATCTTAGCTGCCAGTGGGAAAAATAGCTTATTTCATGGCTGCATGGTAATCTGTTAAAAAACAATAGGTAACTTTAGTTACATTCTTACAGCAGACACCATGCTCACCGGTTGACACTCATTGTCTGGTTGAATTCTTTCCCAAGTCCTACCAGGTCGGTAGCTATGATTCCCATTTGAGAGTTAAGGAAACTGAAGGCCCCAACGATTAGGCTACTTGCTTAGGAGCAAAGCTAGCAACTGGTAGAGTCAGGATTTGAACTCAAGTCCTCTAACTAGAACCTGCTCCTCTTGTTATGCAGCCGTTCCCTAGTAGTAAGCAGGTTGTTGTGTGTGTATAGACCTTGTTTACTTTAACATCTAGGTCTTTTTGCTCTTTATTTTGGATGATGTGCTTTTGTAGAGCAGGGAAGGGTCTGTCTTGGTTCCTCAGCCTGTCGGCAAGGAAGTGGGCGCTGGGCCAGCTTTGCCCCACATCAGGTACAGTCATTACAGTACCAGTGTGCTTGTCGGTTTCTAAAACAACCTTGATGTTGCTTGGCTCTGGCGAGGGAGGGAGGGACTGATGGATGAGGGCGAGTCACTGAATTGATTGCCCTTCACCATTCCATATTTATTTGTTCATCTTCTGTCTCCCATTATGACCTCTCTGGAAGCTGGCAGAGAGGAGGGAGGATTTATGGATGTGCCGCATAGAACTGTGCCTGGGGCTGAAGTCCCGTGGAACAGCCGAAAACAAAACAAAATGAAAACACCAGGTAGCACTCCCAGTACAAATGAGCATCTATGGTGGTTTAGAGACACAAGCACATCGGTGCTCAGCGGCTGTACTCAAGACAGGGCGAGGCTGGCCCGGGCTCACGTCCCTTCTGATGGACTGAGAAGCCAAGACAGAGGATGTGCCTGGGAAATTAGTTTTCTGCTGCCACCCCTCTGCCCCTGGCTGTCTCGCATTTCATCTTCGCTGTCTCCTCAATCTTCAGCCTCCTTCTTCACACTCTTGACCTTCCACTCATCTCCCCTCCTTCCCGGCCTGGCCATCATATCTCACCTCTGGACAGATGGAGCCCTCTACTTTCCAAAGTCCTTTCAGAAAGTTTTATCCTCATCCAAGAAGGCTGGCTGCATGAACCCTGTGTGACAGGGAAGGAGAATGGGGTTCATAGAGGTTAAGTGACACATATTTATTGAGTGGCCACAGGGATGAAGGAAGGGACTTTGCCAAGCCGATAATGTGTGCAGGATCCAGGCATCACCACCAATTATGGCTGCCAGCTGGGGCCATTTCCTTCCACTGTTAGCAGGTCCCCCAGATAGCTAGCTTCAGTCCATTGTTGCAGGGACCAATATATTGTGCTCACTGGTTTCACCTTTACCTTCCTGCCCCATCCAGATAGGCTCTCAATAGGGTCTCTGTTTCGAGAAGTCTGCTTTGTTCTTATTCATTCACTCATTCCCGTAGTACTGACTGTGTGCTAGACACTGTCTTAGACACTTGAAGAAAAAAAATAGGAAAAAGCAGTTACAACTCCTGCCTTCCTCACACTCTAACCAAGAGTCACAAAGACAGATGACAAATGGCAACTATGGAAGGGTTTGGGGGCCAGGAAGATGGTGCTGAGGGCTTATGACTGGCCCAGTTTTATGGGACCCTGGTATGAACTGATGAAGAGGAGAGTGTGACTTCCTTGTTCATTGTTTCCAAGTCACCTCTCATGCTCATTAGAGCTGAAACAAAGAATTAACCCCAGGCCCTTTGTGTCCAGGTGACCTCTATTGCCAGTCTCCTGGAGTTCTACAAAGCTTCCTGCCAGTTCCCTTGGCCCCTTTCAGGTCTGTTTTCCACATTAAAGACAGAAAATGTGAACTTGATTTTATGTCTTAGCTTAAAACCTCCAATGGCCTCTCAGTGCCCTTCAAATGAAGACCAACATACTGAATGGGGCCTCCCATGCTTGTGGCCACCTGACCCCTTCCTGCCCATCTTACATCGGTCATCCCTGCACCCCTCACAGCCAGAGCCACCCTGGATTCTTCTGTCCTCACACTTGGGGTCTTTACACATATTGTTCCCTGTCTCTGAAATACTATCTCACCCTCACTTCACTTAACACCTTTCACATGTCATTTCCAGGAAGCCTTTCCTAACCACACACTAGAACAGACTCCTGGGTTTAGGCCGGACCCCTGTACTTTCCCTGATAACACTTGTCCCAGCTTGTAACGCTCTTTGGGTGGGATGATTAAGATGATGCCATGGAGGCTTGCGGGCTGGGTCTGCATCTGTCTTGCTCACCATCGTATCCCTGGTACCTGGCACAGTGCTTCCCACCTTCTGAGTGCTCAAAGAAAGAAGACCAGGTTCATAAAGAAGAGTGTAGCTATCACAGCTGGAAGGACAAACCCCCAAATAATATAGTTCAACTCCCTCAGTGTACAGATTAGAAACGGGAGATTCAGAGAGGGGAGGTGACTCACCCAATGTCACACAGCAAGCTAGTGGCAGACCTGGCCTGGGACCGTGGTTTACAGCTCCTGCCTCCCCACAACATTTCTCTCTTTGCCTCAAAATTTGTAAGGTCTTTGAGATCTAGATCTAAAACCAAGACACTGTGTGTTAGCTGGAGAAACCATCTGTATTAACCATTACAGAGTTTCAGGTGAATTCTTCAGCTCTTTACGGGTTATAAGGCCTACAGACTCATCTGAATATTTTTTCTAAAGTTGATTTTTAAATGAACTCTAAGGTCTCAGCTGAGGACCAGTTCTGAGGTGCAGACAAGTGGTCCACGGCCTCTAGCCCATGAAGCAAGCCTGCAGCCCTCCTTTCTAAGTGAGAGCAGGGAGTCACACACAGTGAGCACAGGCCCCCTGGCTGACAGCTCGCCACCAAGGGAGCCCTGGTGATGAAGCAGCAGCGACGAAACGCGCTCCAAGCTATGCCAACGTGTGGCCAACAAGGGTGATTCCTGAACCCAGATGAGGAGCGAACGTTTGTTCTGCCTCTGACAAGGCACGTATGCTCCCCTAAAGGGTGACCAGGACACAGTTCACAGACGTCAGGATGTGTTCCCCCACTCCCCCGCTCACCCCATGTGGATAGGAAGCAGCCGTTTCTCCACCTTGTCTACACCCCAGAACCATGTGGCTGTGCTGGGCCCTGGAATGAGAGCAAACTGATCTTAATGAATGTCTTAGTCCCAAGACCCAGGCAGCACCAACAGAACAGCCAGGGTTCCCCACCAGGCAGGGGAGCCCCTTAGGGAAGGAAGGAACCACAAGGCCGTGCATTTATAGTCAACCAGTGTGAGTTACCAAAGCAAGTCCCTTCCCCTCCCTGGAGTCTCAGTTTTCTGTCTGCAAAATGGACTCAATGTAATACCTGCTTTCTATGTGCACTTGCTCTCAAAGTGCCCGGTTCCGTACTGGGGACACATGACATTGGGGGAACAAGAAGGACACAGTCCTTGCACACGAGGCGTTTACATTTTGGCAAGGGAGACGGACATTAAATACAGATTTGCTTAATACTTATTCCATTTCAACTGTGATCAGGGCCACTGAGAGGCTAAAATGAGATGTAAGCAGTGGTTAACATTTAAGTGCTATGTGGGGACATCGGGCCAATTGCTGTACATATTATTATAACAACAACCACAAACCATTAGGCATTAATATGAGCTATTTTTAAAAGTGCTTATCATATATTAACTCATTTAATCATCATTTTAAATATATTTTATTGATTTTTTACAGAGAGGAAGGGAGAGAGATAGAGAATCAGAAACATCGATGAGAGAGAAACATCAACCAGCTGCCTCCTGCACATCTCCTACTGGGGATGTGCCCGCAACCCATGTACATGCCCTTGACCGGAATCGAACTTGGGACCTTTCAGTCCACAGGCCGACACTCTATCCACTGAGCCAAACCGGTTTTGGCATCCTCATTTTAAAATACCTGTGATGTAGGAGAACTATTATCCCCAATTTAGAGATGAGAAAACTGAAGTACAAGAGATTAACTTGCTGAAAGAAACATAGCCACTAAATAGCAGAGAAAGAACCCAGGCATCCTGGACTCAGAGTCTATATGCCTTATGCTGCCTCCCAGAATGTCACTGTCTCACTGATCCTTGCTAAATACTGTTAAGTACTGTTGTTATTCTCATTTTCCACATTTGGACCCCAAGCCAAACATGTGACTTCTGAGTTTGCACAGCTGAGAGATGGTGGGGCTGTAACCACACGGGCCTCCTGTGACGCCTGTGAGCTGGTCTCCAGGACAGACTTTCTGATGTCTTTCCTGGCCCTGTTCTCGCTCAGGTGTTCCTGAAGAGCGACCGTGTGGCCCGCATGGTGCAGAGTGGGGGCTGCTCCGCCAACGACTCTCGGGAGGTCTTCAAGAAGCACATCGAGAAGAGGGTGCGCAGCCTCCCCGAGATCGATGGCCTCAGCAAGGAGACGGTGCTGAGCTCCTGGATGGCCAAGTTCGATGCCATCTACCGTGGGGAAGAGGACCCCAGGAAGCAGCAGGCCCGGATGACTGCCAGCGCAGCCTCTGAGCTGATTCTGAGCAAAGAGCAACTCTACGAGATGTTCCAGAACATTCTCGGGATCAAGAAGTTTGAACATCAGCTCCTGTACAACGCCTGCCAGGTAAGCTGCCTATCACCTGGGCGCAGAGTGGTGAGTAAGCAGGGCCACGTGATGATTTCCGTGTGCTCTAGACACCATTGCCTTCTTGGGCTATTTCTTGGTTAAAAAAAAACAACACAACAATTAAAAATTATATTTTACAACTGCATTGGCAAAAGTTGAATGTAATTCAGGCTATACCAGGATAGGATGGTTTTCTTCTGATTTTAAAAGGAATTAAAACATTTTGTGAGCCCCTAGAAGTCTCATGGGCCTTAGGTACTATGCTTAATGCATCTAAGGGTGAATCAGCCCTATGAGTAAGACCTAGCTCCCATGTGTCAGAAATTCAACAAGATCAAATTAATTGATTTTTAAGAAAGGATTGTTTTGCTTTTAAAACAGTCCTCTTGAGGAGCTTGTACTTCCTCAGCTAGGGAGACAATGGACCTCCCGCCTGGTCATCAAGAGTAATTATTTGCAATAGAAAGCTTCCAGAGGCCTGAGGATGCCAGGCCCCTGTGGTAGTTACATCAGTAATCTCTGCGTGGATCTGAAGGGGCTAGCTGAGGCTCTGCTTGGGCCCAGCTCAAAATGGGCTTCTGTTTTCTCTGGATCGGGGGTTGGGGGAGTGAGGTACTTACCCTAGATCTTATTTCCTGCAAACCTCTCCATTATATTCCTGCATTCATACAACCAATATTTATTGAGTGGCAGCTTTGCAATCTCTGCAGATTTTAGTGCTTGGCACTTGGGAGCGTTTGTTAAATGCACACGTCCAAGCCCCAGCCCTGGAAATGCTGCTTCTGCATTCTCAGAGCAGGGCCATGGAATCTGCATTCTAAACACAAGCCCCCCTCCCTGGTTATTTTGCTGCCCTCTCCTTCTGAGAACCATTAGAGAAACTGAGCCATGGCCTGGTTCACCTGCGCCAACGCTGCCCCTAAGGTAGGTTAAATGGGGACTAGCGTATTGGCTAAGATTTGTGCCTTGCGCAGAATCAGACAGACCTTGGTAAATCTTAATATGACCCCCTCACTAGCTTATGACTTCCGGGAGATAGTTAACCTCCCCACATATGAGCTTGGGATGGAATTATTATAAGGAATCAATGTGTATAAAGCCCAGAGCAGCACGGGGCACTTTATAAATGGTAGTGGTTACATTATATTGTAGTTCACCGGAAGAGACAAAAAGTCAATGCAGTATCAGAACAGTGCCACAGATGATTGACATAAGAGCTACACGATGTTGAGGCTTACTTTTTTTTTTTTTTGCCTCCATGGCTACCTCCTAGTTCAAGGCACCAACATCTCTTGCCTGGACAACCACAGTGTCTACCCAACTGGTAATACTGCCTCCTCCCTTGCCCATGGTAATGCACCCACCAAACACAGCTGGAGTGAGCTTCTGGATCATGCCAGCCCTGTCCCAAAACCTTCCAGTGGCATCCTATCACCCGTAGAAGGAACCCGAACACCTCTCTAAGGCTTGAGACAGTACATGAGCCAGGGCTGCTCACACCACTTTCCCCACATGCTTACTCACGGGTCTTCCCATTTCCCTAGCATTTCACATCATCTGGGCCTTTGCATTTGCTCTCCCCTCAGCTTACAATGCTCTTGCCAACACCTTTGCACACTGGCACAGCTTAAATGCCAACTCCTCCAAGAGGCCTTCAAAGGCCACCCATCTAAAGTTCTCCCTTGCCTCACACCTCACCGAATCACTCCATCCCATACACCGGTCCTATTTCCATCATCGCCTTTACTACTATTTTCCATTTCTTATTCATCCATTTTTGCCTGTTTATTATCTGTTTTCCTCTCTCTGCTCATTTTTTCACCAGACAGTTAGCCTCATTCACCTTTTCATTGTTTGCTAATATTTTCAGTACATGAAACAATTCTTGCACATAGTAAGTGATCAATAATTGCCTACTGAATTAGTAAATGGATGACAGCAGATTATTTTAACTGGTAAATAAGGTCTTGTTATCTGTCCGATGGCTCACCCAGAACTTTCTGGGTATGTTAGTAGTAGGAATCTATTTAGCATTTCATAATATAATATGTATATTACATTTAAAGATTTTCTGACATCCTGTTTTCTTTACGGAGATAATCAAGTGCTCCTAACCCTGACAGGCAAACAGCTATCCTAGGGATTAACTTTTCTTCTAATTGCAACAGTGTATTATGGGTGTTTTCTGTTCATGCTCAAATGTCAGCATCATTGGAATGGATCCATTGCCATGCCATTTCTTATCTCAGTATTTTTGAACTTGTTGAATAGGGCTATGTGGGTAGACCATAGTTTGTTGTGTTCTCCTAAAAATGAATTAATTTGACTCATATTTTCAAAATCTTTCCCATGAGTTAGAAAAAAATACAGTAAAAACTAATGGTCTCTATCCCAAGAATAATGATTGTCTTTAGCTAAAAGAGAATTGCGAGAAACGCACAGTACTTCTTGGGACAGGAATACTTAAGGCATTTAGTACTATATTCTAGTCTCACACCTAAGTCTGATTATTACTTCAGGGCTTCACATCACTAGAAATTAAGATAAAGGACATATGCAGGTAATTCACACAAAAATAAATGAATTCTAAATATCTGATTAATTGTATGTTCCATGTCTTTAATAATCTGAGTTATGTAAGTATATTGGCAAATAATACAAGTATTTTAAAAGAAAGATAACAGTGGTAGTGATAACGCATTGCAAATGTTTTAGAAATAGATATTCTCATCACTGACTACTGGAATAATTTATTATTTTAACCTTTTTGTAGAGTAATCTGTTAATTTTCAGCAAAGCACATTTGTAAAGGGCAAACCTGTTGACCTAGCAGTTCTACCTCTAGGAACTGGTTATAAGCAAATGCTCCGAGATGTGTACAAGAGTGTTGAGTTAACCACATAAAAGAATACTTTTCAGCCAGTAAAGTAGTTGTTGAAGAAGGAAGCTTACCACATGGGGAACATTCGCTGGCTCTTTTAAAATGGAAAACCAGACTATGACATAGAGTATGAAGGCTTGATTTTACTTTTATGGCTAAAGAATTGGATGGTGAAAAACAAAATCCTAACTGCTTGTTTTTAGGGGTAGCATTGTGGTTGGTTTCTATTATTTTCATTTGTGCTTTTCTGTGTTTCTGAATTTTCTGCCTTAACCATATAAGTATTTTGTAAATGGAACCAAATAGCAAAGATCTCAGCCAAGATGCTATCAAGACAATGGGATAAGAAGAAAACAATCTTCTGCATTGTTTTCTAGACTTCAGCCATTAATATACCGCTTCATACTTGTTGTCATTTCCAAGTCCTACCTGTATGATTACTTATTTAATTTTTCTAATTAAACCGACTCCTAAGTCACTTTTTAAGCCTATCTTTCTCTTCAAAAGTAATGAATGTAAGTAAAATCACAGCTTTGAAGTATTAGTTTAAAAAGCAGCCAATATGCATTAAAGCGACATCTAACCAGTGAAACAGAAGCTCCTCATTAGCCTGCCCTCATGTATCACCCACACACCAGTGAGGTGGGAGGCATGGCTGGGGCGACCAGTGCCCTCACATGCTGAGGTTGCTGAGCCCCTGACGCTATCCTTGAAAGTAGCCCAGACTGACCAGAACAGCATTCATGTAAGTCTGCATTTCTCACAACCTGCAATCAGCTTTCATAAATTATAGATTTGGGGCCCAGGCTAGGTAGCTCAGTTGGTTTGAGCATCGTCCCAATACACCAAGGTTGCAGGATCGATCCCCAGTCAGGGCATATAGAGGAAGCAACCAATGAATTCATAAATAAGTGTAACAACAAATCAGTCGCTCTCTCTCACTCTTTCTCTCTCTTAAGTCAATAATTAATTTAGACAATAAATTATAGATTCATTTCCTCGCTTTCTCATATATCACACTGAACTCAGCAGAACTCTCTTAACACAGGGGAGCAAAGCTATAGAAGAGAAAATCACATGGCTTTCATTCTCACTCTGTTTAAATTGATTTTTTTGTTTCGTTTTGTTTTGTATTTTCTGGACCTTCCTCTGAGACAAAGCAATTTCTAGGTGCTTCCAAAACCAGAAATGTACACATTTTCTTCTCACGCACGTTGCATTCCAGGAGAAGCTGTCATCTGACTTCTGCTGCTTCTGAAGGTTCCCCTGATCTCTGTAATGTTCTTCCAGGAATTGCAGTTTGCATCTCAAATGAGAAATGATGTTTATCACAGAGAAATTATCTCAGTTATATTCTACTTGTCTATTGTACTCGAACCATGTCTATCAGAACTTGTTAAAAAGTGAGGAGGCTTAACAGAGTCTTCATATTTGCATATGGGAGTTTTTACAGTCTATCTGGCTTATTTGAGAATGCTTGGTCCTATCTCATAGAAGCATTTACCTATACTCAACATAATAATCAATGTAAAATAACTGGAAACTCTAATTATGAAATCAGTGTTGTTTTTATTTTCCTAGACTCTGGGAGGAAGCAGTTAATTATGTCCCTACTGGGGCATTTGAGCTAAATTCTAAACCTAACACAAAAAGAATAGGCTAGCCTCTTTGAGAATGGCTAGCACACCTGGGAAATGAGACTAAGATCTTCTTGCCATCTTCATAAAAGGCAAAGTTGATGATGATGGTGATGATGATGATGATGATGATGATGGTATGTTTTTAAAGTTTTAAAATTGCCATGCACGATGGTGATGATGATGATGATGATGATGATGGTATGTTTTTAAAGTTTTAAAAATGCCATGCATCATCCCTCCCATTCCTTTTAGTGGCCTGAAAATGAGTTGATTTGATGTCCAGTTGTACCAAGTATTTGCTACTTCTGACCCCTCTGCTTAAATGGACAAGTTATTCTTTTTAAAAAAATATATTTTTATTGATTTCAGAGAGGAAGGGAGAGGGAGAGAGATAGAAACATCAATGATGAGAGAGAATCATTGATTGGTTGCCTCCTGCACACCCCACACTGGGAATCAAGTCTACAACCCGGGCA